TATATATACCTTGCTTTCACATGCTGAATTGCACATTGAGCATAGTGTTTAGAATATGAATACGTGCTTGTGTTAAGCTTAGTAAATGTCTCAGAATAATAACTATCCTGAAACTCCCCCTTACACTTTAATAACCTACATTCTCTCTTCTTTTCTTTCTGTCCTACACAAATTTCGCTAACAGTGCTACAAAGTAACAAAGCTATTCTAACAAACTGCATTTCCTATACAAGTACATTACAATAAGAAAAATAAACGCCTCACAAAGTAAACCCATCAAACCTACATATAAAACAGAAAATCAACAAGTGAAGCAAGCCTTTCCATTGTGGAACGTAATTGTCTAGTTTTGCTCACTTATCTAGAATAAGAGCAAAGCTGCCTGCAATCTATCTGGGGGTTCATTAGTGTTGGATGGGAAAATTGCTTGAAGTCTCAAACAAAAGCTTGAGTATTGTGTAACCTGCACCCCTGCTCCACCAATACCACCCTTGGTCCGCTTATATGTGCTACACATATTGCGATTTCTTTATGTAGATTCATACTTGCTTCTGTTCTGTACAGTATCACCTTTTGGTGAGCCAACTGGTTTTGCATTTATTAGCTCTAAATATCCTACCATTCTATGGACCTTTCATTTAGCCAGTGGCACATCTAATACAGGCCAAATTATAATGACGCATGAGTATAACCTAATTCTAATAATTTCATAACCATATCCAAAATAAGATAATATACTTTGAATAATAGGGGAACACATTTACACATTCTGGTTTTGCCCCATTTGTGTTCCAATCATAAGCTGCAGTGGGGAGGTTCATTGGTCTGACGCTCACGTCTGATTCCCTTTGTGATAACTTATCCTTGTAAAGCTGCCACATCTCTTAAGCTGGCCATAGATTTATATCTTTTTTTTGTTCAACATGTGGGCTGAGTGAAAAAAATAGAACAGATTCCTTTATCCACACTCAACAGTGTGGATGGATGAATCTCCTGCTGGGCTATTGTATTCTGACAGTGGCAGGTGACAATTGGCTGTCATCACTGTTTACCCAATAATTTTACAACCAGCTCCTTCAATTTTCTGATCAATGGATGCTGAACAGAACAATGCAGACAGGGCCACCTACTGAACCAATTTATAAAGAATCAGCCGAAATTTCCATAGTGTGCAGCCAGTTGTGCAGACAGCTTAAAACCTGGTAATAAGCAGTGTTTTTACACTACTATCCTTACTATTATTCAACCGGAGCTTTCTTTCCCCAAGGGATGAAAATGCAGTATACAGAAACAGCAGGAAGTCTTATTTGCCCACAAACATAAGTAAGCGATATGGAATCTACTCTGTGCAAAGTTTGCACCAAATCTTGTAAAGATTTCATTGGTTTGGTTTGGGGTGGCGGAAAGTGCCGCCCTAGGCAAATGCCTAGTTTTCCTTGCGGTAGATACACTACTGGTCCCAACTGCAACCGCTGTCACCCTGGTAATTCTCATGAAAATGTCAAGTATAGGCACTGATATCTGAAAAGTATCGGTTCATCCCTAGTATGCAGAATACTTCATAAACGGAGTTTAGCTTTAAAGACTATTTTCTCAAACATTTTATTTCCATCTATTACATATATCTAATGTGTTAGGTGCTGTACCCCCTCCCCCCAAAAAAAACAAAACGTAAACTTCAGCTTTAAAGAACTCATTTTCATCTAGGGTCTAAAATAACAAAGAAATACTCACCCAAACTTCAGACCTGGCTGGCTGCTAGACTAGTCCCTGCAGCCTCTCTTTCCTTTCGCTCTAGCGATGCAAGGTCCCTCGGCATCCGCAAGTTTAATACACTGTATTGAACATGATGACTCACGATGAAGCGAAGGGGAGGAGAGGCTGAAAGGACCAATATAACAGCCAGTCGGGTGCAAGGTTCTAGATGAAAACAAGACGTTAACCCTTGCAGTGCAGGGGTAGCCCCAATGTAGGGGATACGTTTTCTACTGCCCGGAGTCCATCTTTAAATTATCTCAATTCTGCAAAGATTTCTCTATCTGTTTTGACCATGTAAAACACGTATTGTGTATTTTCTTCCCACATGTTGATTTTCATACAATTGGAGAGCCATATGAATTATAAATGTGCTGGGTATGCTGTAGCTTTAACAGACATATTTTGTCAAACAATTAACAGAAGAAAAGGAAACAGACCTCAAGGTGAAAGAATGGTAATATTTTCAAGAGCAGAATTACAATGAAATTGAAAAATGAATATTTAAATAGTATACTTAGAGCCTGTAAGGATGATGAAGCTGGATGGAATTACACTGTGTGTTAAGCTGCTGATTGGCAGTTTTGATAGTTCACATAATGTTGGAAGTAATACACCTAGCACAAAAAGCTCTCTTGTATTATCTAGAGAACAAATTATGTTACTCAGGTTTAAAGCCTATGCCATTTGGGGACTTTTACCTGGTGGCATAATCAACAGCCATTGAGCTGGTACCAAGGACTAGGACTGGCAAAGGGCTTTTAGCAGATGGGAGTAGTAGGAAGTGACTATATTCACATCCTCACTTAGGACCAGGTTCAGTATCTTTGATAAAATATCCACATGAAGCCAAAGTCCACCTTAAAGTGTATTTTAGCCAAATTAAGATAACACATACTTTATATTTGTTACATGGTCCCATTCACATAGCATAACTTAAAAAAAAAAACAATTAAAGAAAAGAAGAAAATATAACAGGTCAACGCTCCATCAACGCTTAAGAGCGGCTGTCAGAATACCTGAATAGAGCCGGCAGCTCATTCGCTGCTGGCTCTGTTCATTCAAAGATTTTCCAACTGGCTCCTTTGATCTTCTGATTGAGGGATGTTGGGCAGAAGGGTAGGCTTAAGCTGTTCCCCTATTTGTACTGCAGACACCTTCAGGTGAGATCCTTTTATTTCTATATTTTCTATTGTTTATGTCTAATCTGCTCCAGGATCTGGGGCATCCATCAAATTTGGAGATGCCAAAGGAGGTATAATCGGCCATTCCAGGCAACTAGAAACAAGCAATCAGTAATCTGCCAATGCCATCCATTAAATAGAGCCATTGTGCCAAAGTCCAGTTAAAAGATATCTAAAGACAACTTTTACCTATATGTAAAATAGCATACAGAAATAGAGAAAACCAAACGCTGTCAACTCAGCACTATTGAAGCACAAACATCTGTAGCAGTAATGTTGTGGTGCTTAGTGGGATTATTTGCTGGCCATAATCTAGCTATTCTGACGATAAAATGATTTTTAAAAGTGTTACATTTACTTTGCAAATGTAATCGATTTTCACTATAACAACTCTATGTACCACAGTGTTTTTTTCAGCGCACATATGGAACAAGGTAAATTGCCTTGTCTTGTGTTGCAGTTGAACTGGAAAAACAGCCAGCGCAGTGCCAACGCATTGGGTGGTAATGGCTGGCCAGAATCTGATTGGTAGTCATGATGGACTTCTTAAGAATGGCACTTAAATGTCTCAAGCTTTCGGCATGTGAGAGGTATTAAAAGCCTTGTACTTGAGAATATCTCTATTACATTACAAACAGGTAAGCAAAACATTGTCCCAGATCACCAGAACAACAGCACAAACTACTGAAAAACCAAAGCTCTGATCTCAAGCGTACCTTCATCAGGTTTCAGGAAAATGTAATACAACTGTAACAGAGTCATATGGACAACAGACCACCTATTATTTGTTTGGCATTTAGACTTTAAAGACAAGAATAATGTGTACTCACTCGTACAAAGTTGTCAGGGAAAAGGCCTCTCCTTCCTTTCAGCTCTCCTTCCCACCATCCGCCATCTTCTTTTTTGATTTTGGTGATAATTTCACCAGCAACTACAGTCAGCTCATCATCATGCTGAGCCTTGTAGTCAAACTCCACAATCGCATCCACTGTAAAGACAAAAAGATAAATGAACAGCCGAACATAATTAAAGTAACTAATGGCTCCCATATGGCAGTTTAAACAAGTACCCAGTTACTATGTGATGTGCAAACCTCATTAAGTAAACAAGAAACTTTCTTTACTCTCTCCATGACTGCCACCTTCATGTGCGTCTCACATGCTCCCCCTCACAGACACTGCAGCTAACAGTGGGAGGTTTCAGCAACAGAGGCAGTGCTGTCAATCTAGAATGCAGTGTCAGGACTAAGTGTGTCCAGGTGCTGATTGACAAGCTATAGGCTTGCGAATCGGCAGTGACAATTTTGTTAGCCATGCCCACAGCAACAATTTTTCATCCCACCATAGTACAAGCAGATACAGCCCACGTGAGGGTGGCAACTCTGCTCTGAATTCAGGAGCAGTGCAGCATCATTGGCGGATCAGAGAAAGCTGCATTTGGTAGACTTCATTGGCAGGATCAACAGGTGTTTTGGGGACTTTTTAGAAAATGCAAATACACTAAAAGTGAAGTGCTGCTCCACATAATTTTTTTAATTGTGCGGTCATAGTTCTACTTCTATACACCAATTAATAAGCTTGCATACAAGTACATCACATAAAATATTTGGCCATTGTATCACTATGAAAATCACAATGGGGTTTATTTATTAAAAAAAAAAGTTTTACTGCCAAGATCTCCCCTCAACCTTTACTTGTTTTTACACCACAGGTCCCAATGTGAGTTTTCAGATCTGTACTTAGCACACAGACATTGTCTTTGTCAAACAGATACATGATACCGACCAGGTAAGAAATGGATGTATGTGGTTCTTGGGAAAACCTGCACTCTAACTATATGTAAGAAGATAATATTTAGGGCTGGCGTGTTTCTTCTTCCCTCACAGCTCTGATCTACTTGCTGTAACTTCAAAACCCATGGCGGACTTGACACACTGCTGCTGAGGAAATCAAGTCTTCGTTGCTCGTACACCACAGCGGATATTGGGCCTGGGATCTGGAGGCTAAGAGCTCTATCACCCAGAGAGACACCTATTTGGCTGCACTGTGTGGCGGCACGAACGGGAGATATTCCCCGGTATTACACACGAATGAGACAACCGTCTCTGTGTATACGAGCACCCAGGAACTCTGCGGAAGAAATTTCGTTTTGACGAGTGATCTAAATCTACTCCTGCAACTACTTAACAGAAACCTCCTAATAGATATGCCTTACCTCCCTGTTTATGGGTGACTGATCAGTCTGTGCAGACTGCTACAATCTGGAATCTGTATATATCGCTATATTGAAACATCTTACGGAGTGAGTAACTACTTAAAGGAGAACTATGGGGTTAGTGCTTTTCCCCATAGTTCTCCTAGGGGTAACGGGAGGGCACAAAGTAGCGTCCTCCCGTCACCCTAAGCTCAGTATACCGCGAGCTACAGCTCGCGGTATACTGAGACGCCGCAGCCGGAGCGGATCCCGACATCGATGTCGAGATCCGCCCCCTCCCCCGTCCGTTCCACCAGTCAGTGCTGGCGGATCGGAGCGGGGAGGGGGGAATCCAGCCCCTCCCCTGTCACGGCAGAGAGCCGTGACAGGATCGAGAGGTGAGCGAACGCCGGTATATGTTCGCTCACCTCCCGATCTACTGAGCCGACCTGTGACAGTCTCATTGTCACAGGTCGGCTAGAACTATGAGGTGAGTGAAAATTGCTCCTTGCACTGTTTAACTGAATAAGTTTGTAAGCTTTTATGGTTTCAGCTACTCGATAAAGAATTATTGCACACTTATGATACTTGCAAATTATGCAAATTGAATATTTGGATGATATAAAAATATTGTGAGATAAAATAAAGGACATAATTAAAGTTGGCCTTCCTCACTTGAAGACACTCCATCAAAGCGCAGAAGTGACCTCCTGAGATTTGAGATCCCAGGATCTTGCATAAAATTGTCATTTAACTATTAAATGCCTTGGTTTTTCATGAGTTTGTATTTTTTCTTATGTATTAGTATTTGATTTATGGTAACAATTGCTCCATTCTCTGCTCAACCTTAGAAAGATACTCTTAACACCGGTCTTAAAAGAGACTTATGTGCCAAACTTTTTTGGCCATATTTCTCTTAAGGATCACAGGAGGACATATAACATGTCCTCCTGTGACCTCAACTCAGCATATAGCACTGCAGCCAAGACGGATCCCAACACTATTGTCAGGATCCACCCCACTGGCTGATTGACAGTTGGCTTTGCCTCTCTAGAGTCAGCATTGGAGGAACGGAGAGGGGAGGGAGAAATCCCTGCGGGGAGCGGTGACTGACAGTCACCACTCTCTGCAGGGAGAAGATCGGGAAATGAGCGATCAGCACTGAGCTCGCTCATTTCCTGATCTACAGAGCTGATGTGTGACAGCTTCAGTGTCACACTTCAGTTCTAATTATAATTCTGCTTTAAGCTAGGGTGTTTCAAAGAGTGAAATCTCATTTGTGCATATGTAGCCAATGCATGCTTCAGACATTCCTTTGGTGCCTGGCAGCATTAAACATCCTTGGCTCTGTCTGTCTGCACTTTGCACAGAGTTGGAGGAGAAGGTGGCAACAGTTAGGCTTAGCCATGAGTATATAGTTCCAACCATTACTTTGCTTCCCCGGTAATATATATGCTTTAAGCCATGTACCATTCAGTGACTCACAATGATTTTCACGATGCCAACATTTTTGTTTTACAATTTTCTTTTACAACATGTATTCTTTTCCATTCTTAAGCCCAACTTTAGACAAACTGCTTCTCAGTTTTTGATAGACCAGTAAAGAGTTGGAAAGTTTGTTAAATTTTAATTGCTGTCTTTTGCCTAATTTTCTGGTGGAACACTGAGACAGAAGGTGAGTAGAATCTCTCCAACAGGATCACGCACAGCAATGAAATAATTGAAGCTTATTATCTATCAGTTTTTTTTATTGGGCTAAACCACCTCATATAATCCTCCTTCGATGCACTGATGTTACAGGAGACAGAAATGAGTAACCTTTCACTTTTCTTAAAAAATAAGTGCACTTTAAGACAAAGTACATACAACCCCCCCCCCCCCCCCCCAAAAGGGGAGACTTAGGGCTGTAGGCAGAAGTCTATATTGCTGCGATGTGCAGGTACAGCCAGCAGAGAGACCACTGTTGAGGAATGTTCAATGGAATCAATAGCTGAACCATGCCCATTGGATCTCGGTAAGTACAGATGCGTGGTGGGGGGCAAAAAAGGATAAGTGCACTTTGTTTTAAAGAGGGCATATCCTTTAAATAATTGCAAGATCCTTCTGCCATGCTGTAGTATATTTATTCTCTGCAAGCCCGCCCCACACTTATATTAGGCACTATATGGTGTCAGACATCTTCACAAAGCCATCATAGCATATAAGAGTTTCTAAGCCAATGCTAGCTTTTTGAAAGGCTGTTTTTGCATAGGCTTAGACACTTCCCATATGTAAGAGCTCAGGCTCAGACACTTTCCATATGTAAGTGCTCAGGTGATAGGTTGCTCAGCAGAACGCTGTCACATAAGGGGGATGTGCAAGTGTAGGCCTACTATCTCATTATACTGCTGCAAAGATGAAGATATAATCTGGCACCCTACTTACTACTGCTAGCTTTATCCCCATAGTTCATGGCTTCCTAATCCTCTGAATGGCTCTGAATCTGAAACTGTTAAAATATAGACCAGTGCATTCAGTGGTGCAGCACAGTCCTCCCCCACGATGCTCTGCAGTCTCACCTACATACATTGGGTCAGAAAAGGAAGTTGCACAAGCTTTAGTTGTTGCCTGAAATAGCTATTTTCTACGTGATTGTATTGCTTTGTAGACATCTGATCATTGTTTCATTTTTACGTTCATTAATCCTTCTCCTCAAGCTTAAAATAATAAAATTATTATTTTGCACTAGACTGTAGCCTCACTATTAAATAAAAACACAAATGTAATTGAGCATATTGTTAGCTTTGAAAAGTGAAGTCCAAAAACGGCAAAACCCAATTAATTTGGCATTGTTTTCTGCTCATACAATTTATTTTCAGATAAACATGGCATGGTTCTGTGGATTCCCTGCCAGACCGACTTGCCATAAAATTGTTTATTATAATGACACAAAGTCAGATCTGCAAACTCTGGCATCCCAAGCCTTCCTAGCATTTTTATACTCTCAGAATATATCGGTTAGGCCGTGTTCACACCAAATGCAGAGCAGATCCGCTCAGGTTTCTGCACACGCAGTGCAGTGCGTTGTGCCGCGTTTTCTGCAGCGTTTTTGATGCGTTCCAGGCCGTTTTTTTTCTTTTTTTTCCATTTAACATGGGCTTTCAGTGCGTTCCAGGCATTTGCATGCGTTTTTGATGCGTTTTTGATGCATTTGCATGCGTTCCAGAGCAGATCCAGAGCAGGTAAAATAGGGCTTGCTGCAGTTTTTTCACCTGCTCTGGACCTGCTCTGGAACTGCACGCTGCGATGTGAACTGGAGCAAAAAATACAATTGGAATACATTGGACGCAGTTTTGATCCGGTTTGCAACTGCTCTGCTCTGCGCCTGCTCCGCGCTTGGTGTGAACAAGGCCTTAGTTACCTCCACTGGCCGTTGAAAGATTTGTGTTGGTGTTTATTATGGGTAACAAAAGATTAGGTACTATTTTTAAACATTATTGACCCCCCCCCCCCCCCCCCAAAAGGGGAGACTTAGGGCTGTAGGCAGAAGTCTATATTGCTGCGATGTGCAGGTACAGCCAGCAGAGAGACCACTGTTGAGGAATGTTCAATGGAATCAATAGCTGAACCATGCCCATTGGATCTCGGTAAGTACAGATGCGTGGTGGGGGGCAAAAAAGGATAAGTGCACTTTGTTTTAAAGAGGGCATATCCTTTAAATAATTGCAAGATCCTTCTGCCATGCTGTAGTATATTTATTCTCTGCAAGCCCGCCCCACACTTATATTAGGCACTATATGGTGTCAGACATCTTCA